GCCACGGGCTCAGAAGTGTCTGACATCCACAGTAAAGCCTGACACGGTAAACCAAAGCTCAGGCAAACACAGGCTGATTGTGCAAAATTAGCTTTTGTATAAATTTGATCCCTGGGCCCAAGGAGTACTTTGTTTATTCTCCTTAACTGGGTAATCATTGGATTTTAATTATCTCATTCAATTTCCTACATTTTCTTGATAATATCTGATGCATATTACAAAGTCCTTTCTCTGCTAACGAGTGCTTTTGAATTGAACTGCTATACAGCTGTAGATATGTGTGTGCACATGTGTGTCTGTGTATGTCTGTGTGTGTGTGTGTGTGAGTGTGAGTGTGAGTGTGTGTGTGTGAGTGTGAGTGTGTGTGTGAGCGTGTGTGAGTGTGAGTGTGTGCACATGTGTGTCTGTGTGAATGTGTGTGTGTGAGTATGTGTGTACACATGTGTGTCTGTGTATGTCTGTGTGTGTGTGTGTGAGTGTGTGTGTGTGTGAGTATGTGTGTACACATGTGTGTCTGTGTATGTCTGTGTGTGTGTGTGTGAGTGTGTGTGTGTGTGAGTATGTGTGTACACATGTGTGTCTGTGTATGTCTGTGTGTGTGAGTGTGAGTGTGTGAGTATATGTGTGAGTGTGAGTGTGTGAGTGTGTGCACATGTGTGTCTGTGTATGTCTGTGTGTGTGTGTGTGTGTGTGTGAGTGTGTGTGAGTGTGTGTGTGTGTGTGTGTGTGGGTACTATGCGCATATGCTGTGTGATGAGGTACTATGCGCATATGCTGTGTGATGTGTGTGGACACCAGAGGAGAACCTCACATGTTCTTTAGATGCTGTTCACCTGGCTTTTTGAGACAGGGTCTCTCATTGGCCTGGAGGTCACACAAGTAGGCTGGGCTAGTTGGCCAGTAATCCCCAGGGACCTTTGTATCTCCACCTCCCTGGGATTCTAAGCACATTCCACTAGGCTTGGCTGTTTTTGTTTTGTTTTACTTTTTTTGAGACAGGGTCTCACTAGTCAGCCCTGGCTGGCCTGAACTCACTATGTGGACCAGGCTGGCCTCCAGCTCACAAAGACTCACCTGCCTCTGCCTTAAATGCTGGGTTTAAAGGTGTTCACCATCATGCCCAGCTACACTCAGATTTTTTTTCTATGTGGATTCTGAGGATTGAACTCAGGTCCCTTTTCCTGACTGACCCATGTCCCTAGCCAGGTAGACTGTCATTATCACTATGACTTTACAAAGGACACCAGAGGAAACCAGTTCACACTGTGTCACGTTCATGCAGACAGGCCAGAGGAGAGAGGAAGGAAGGAGGCTCAGCCTTAGACAACAGGAGGTGGGGACCTGTGTGGCCACAGGTACTCCTCTACCACAGAGGAGGAAGGAGGATATGTCCCCAGACTACATGTGTGTCTCAGCCTTAAACCATCTCACCTTCACGGGTGGCTATAAAGCAAAATGAATCCATCCTAGAAAGGACAGAGATGGAAATGCAAGTCCAATCAGAAGTGCCCAATATTCTAACACACAGCCATTTCTAGTCCAGAGTCAGAGAGAGATGATCTTTGTAGAAAGGGTGAAAAAGCCTTTTTTTCAGTTGTTTTACTTCTGCGGTAGGGCTTAGCTATATAGTTCAGACTGGTCTTACACTAGTGACCCTCCTGCCTCCATCCCTCAAGGGCTGGGATGACAGGTGCATCCCACCTCACCTGGCCTCCACTGTGTTTTTTTTTTTTTTTTTTTTTTTTTTTTTTTTAAGAACACATCTAGAGAAGATGCTGCCCAACTATTACAAGCCAGGAGCTGGGAATCGGTACCCCAGGATCCTCTCTGGTACAGAAACAGACTCAAAGTATTAAGAAGTCCCTCCAGATTGTCTTTATAGTTTTGACTCTCTCAATGGCAACGGTGGAGTCCACTCAGGAGGCCACTGTCACCCCAGCCTGCTCTTTGTTCCTGGAGAGGTAGTGATCCAACTCAGGAAGCTGAAGACACGGAAAAGGAAAATCCGTGTGTATACTCAGCTGAGAACAGAGAGAGCTGAAATGGTTGGGAATTACAGGAATGGTTGGGAGTCAGACATAGGCACGGAGGGGAAGATGCTTTGGGAGGACGGGGCTGCACCAGTCTCGGGGCCTGGGGATGGAGAGAAGATTGTGGAGGTAAAGCTTACTGGGAGGACTCGGAGCTCACCAGTCCCAACCCTACTGCCACTCATGACTCATTTCACAGCCCAGTCAGAGGACTTGGGAGTCTCTGAGAGCTGGCTGCGTCCTGGAGGGGCCTTCTGATGGTGCAGCTTTGTAGCCAGCCCCTAAGTAGGCGTGGCTGCCACGCGGCTGGCTAGGTCGCTCTGTAAGTAAGGCTTTTCCCTATTAAATACCCTTATACTTCTACCTGACTCCGTATTGGTAATTTCCCACTGTACAGCTTTCCTACTTTCTCCTCCCTGTCCTGATGATGGTGGACTTAGTGTCAGACTGAAGGAATTTATGAACCTCACCAAGGATCATTATCCTCTTCACACTTCCTCCCTGTCCCCCAGGGGACCTTCCCTTGGGCTTTGCAGCCTGCACTGATTCCCTACTGCATGTGGTATAGCTTGCCAGAGATTCCAGCCTACTGTGCAGTCTTAGACATGCATATCAGTGCCAAGGTGACTTTCCCATCCAGGGCAGCTTAGGGAGGCACAGAGCCAGTCAGAGGGAGTTTAAGGCTTCGTCCAAAACCTGAACCTGTCTGTCTATTTTCAAGTTTCAAGTTTTCAAGTTTCATTTCCATCTATGAAATCAAAGGCTCAGCGTAGCCCCCAACACTGACTCCAGTTGTGTTGGCATCTCATATGCCCATCTCCATAGGGCATTTCCATTGCCCATGAGGACACAGAGTGAGGGAGGGAGGAAGAGGAGGAAAGCACAGGCCAGGCTTCAGGGCTTGTAATTTTCTGGGTCTTCAGTGGCAGAGGGAGTGACTCTATGCAGCCTCACCTGATCTGAGGTGTGCTCACAAGGTGCAGTGAGTAACGAGCCCTGTAGATGGTCTCTGGAAAACACAGCCACCTTCTAAAGACAATGCATTGCAGGGCCAGAAGGGAAGGGACCAATTGGCAGTCACTGTGGCCTAGTAGGGCAGAGCTGGGGCAGAAGGAGAAGGACCAGAGCCTGGGGAGGCAGCAGAGGTACCTTGTAGCTGGCTTCTGTTTCAGGACATCCATTAAGAGCCAGCCCAGGCCAACCCAGTAGAAAGGTGGCTGGCTATGCAGAGACTTAGCCAGTGAAGAGACAGGCATAGTCACAGCAAAGCCCTGGAGAGATGACATCTCTGCTCCTTCTGAAGCCAGAGTAGCTTTCCTAGACCTTGGAATGGCACAGTGCCAGTCTCGTGCAAACCAGACCACACTCCACCTTTTCCTCCTCTTACATCTCACTGGTCCTCAGCCTGGTAAGAGCAGCACAGCCAAGGAGGGTCGCAACCAGACAAAGAGAATGGAGTCTCTGTCAATTCCATCACCAAGTGCTAGGGAGGAGCAAACTCAAGCTCAGAGAACATTACTGCCTTGAAACAATTCTAGTGTTGTGGGGAAGGGTTAACCCCACACTCCTGCTGAATATAGGCAATGGATGTACTCTGGGGAAGGGACAGTCATTTCTTTCATTTGTCACTTGTGTATCAAACTGTGAGTCCTGTGGGTTCCAATATGGTTTAAAGCCAGTGGTCACACAGATAGTCCTAGATAAAACTATAGTCACAAAACAACAAAACAAAACAAACGGAACAAAACAAAGTAGGAAAGAGACCTGTAGAGAGGAGGAGGGGGTAATAGAAGGGTGTGGAAACACCGAATACATCCTATAAATATGTGCATTTGCCTAAGAATACATTTAAGTAATAAAAATTATTTAAAATTGACAATTCACCCTTTAATTCATTCAGACTACTTAATGTAGGAATGCCTATGTGACAGTAAAATGCATTGTTCCTGGAAAAAGAAAAGAGTACCTTTGGACTTGTGACAGCTGGGCCAGAGCCTGTAGTGTCTGGGGTAAGAGGGACACATGTCAGAGGAGGGGGGCACATGTACACTGCCCACCGTGCTAAGATTGGGACAGTTAGAAAGATATTCTAGGGATGGAGAGATCACTTAGTTGATACAGTGTTGAAGCCCTGGCTCCTGTCCCCAGAAAAAGGAAGTAAAATAAGTCTGGAATGGTGGCAGACGCTTGTATTCCCTGGGCTGGGGTGGTGGAAACGGGCAGATCTCTGGGGCTCACTGGCCAGCCAAACACTTTAGCCTACTTGGTGATGAGGGGGTCTTTAAAAGGGGGTGACACTTAAGGAACAACAATAGGGCTTTCTCTCTGTCTTACACACACACACACACACACACACACACACACACACACACACACACACACACACGCACGCACACGTGCGCGTGCACGTGCGCACGCAGCTGCACACAAGGAACACATATACAGAGGTGGGGCTATGTCACTCTAAACTGCAGACCCCACAACACTAGGATCCTGTCTTTACCACTCCCTCTACCCTCTTGTCCTTTGGCACACTGTTCTTTGGGGGTTTTGTTTGTTTGTTTTCGTGTTTCTGTGTGTGTTCATGAAGGAAATAATTAAGTGTAAGACACTAAGAGAGAAATTGGGGCAGATGGAACCCTGACAACATAGAATCTTCTGCAAACACTTTCTCCAGCATCCCTCGCCTAATGAGGCATCTGTGTAACTGGCATGAGCCAGATGTA